GGTTACATAATAAATGAATGCTATTTAATAAGAATATAAGTAGAAAAAATAACATTTAGGTACTTATCAAGGGCCAATTTATAGTGAAAATGAATCAAACATAAGAATATAGGATAGGCAGCCACAGAATTTTTTTCCACAAAGAAGGGAGGAAGATTCTAGGAAGACGGTGGCAAAGGTTTTAAATTTCTCTGAACAGACACATAAAAACAGAAAAAGCAACTAGAGAGCAAAACCAAAAACTCATGGAAGTTTACAATACAACCAAGTGACAAGATACCTTCATGGACCCAAAATATATAAGGGCAAAGACAAAGCAGTAACAGCTACAGGACGTCCATGGTTTTAGCATCTGTGCAGGAGAAAGCAAAGGGTAGAAACAGGACATCTGACCCATTCTGAGCACAGGCAAATCTGAATAAAGCCAAGAAGCATGCACCGAAAGCCCAAAGGCCAAGGTGAAAGCAACAGCTAAAAAGTTTTGCCCAATCCAACAGCAGCTGAGTGCAAGGGTTCATGGTAATGCTTAAAGGGCTGGAACAGTGTAGCACAGTACCTGGGAGTTTTTCAAACTGAGCCAAGGACCACTCCCAGGAGAGAGTGGCCCACTATAAGGAGAAACTGGCAGAAGTGGAATCAAAAGTGAGCAGCATAGGGACACCAAGGAAAAGGAAAGATAAGGCATAGATAAAAGTCAAGTAAGGGAACAGATAGGAACTGAGAAAGTAAGCTGCCCTATTTTTGCCTACTACTTGAAAACAACAGAAGAGGGGGTTCTGTTAAGTTAGAAAAGCTATCCTGAACCACAATTCCCTTTGGAAGTCCAAGAAAGCTCACTCTACATAACAAAAAAGTATCAAGATCAAAAAAGTCAGGGAAAAATATAATTAGTTTGATTTGTCTTCTCAAATAATTGGAACTTCTGGTTTAACATAACCAATAGGCTATACATGTTCTGCCTCCTTCCTCCAAGACCCTAGTAAAATGATAGTAAAGGAATTTTTAAAAGATGTAAAATCATAAGAACATGAGTAAAAAGTGACAGACATGGATGGGAGATTTCAACTAATTTTTTGAAGACAATAA